AGCCTGCCCGTTGGCAGGACAGAGCAAAAGGCTGAAATGTCCTTGGCTTAGTATAAGCACTGCTCTGCAACAATTAAAGCATCGGGGTGTTATCAGCACTCTTCTCATCCTAAGCCAAAACACAGCATTCCACCAGCTACTAGGAAGAAAATTAATTCTGTGCTAGCTGAAACCAGGACACCGTGCTTGATGCACCCCAAGATATGGTTGGCCCTTTTGGCTTCCAGAGCACACTTTTGACTCATATTCAACTTGTTGTCGACCACAACCCCCAGATCCCTTTCTACGGGGCTGCTCTCCAGCCTCTCATCCCCTAGTCTGTACGTATAGCCAGGGTTGCCCCTTCCCAGGTGCAGAATACAGCACTTGTTCTTGTTAAACTTCATATTGTTGGTGACTGCCCAGCCCTCTAACTTGTCGACATCACTCTGAAAGACCACTCTAACCTCGAGGGAGTCAGCTGTTCCTCCCAATTTAGTGTCGTCCACAAACTTACCCAGTATACCTTCAAATCCTGCAACCAAGTCATTTATGAAAACAGTAAAGAGAACTGTCCCCAAAATGGAGCCCTGTGGAACCCCACTAGTGACTGGCCACCAGCCTGATGTAACCCCATGTACCATAAACCTTTGAGTCCAACTCATCATCCAGTTGTTCACCCATCGTATTATTTATCTAGCTGTATGCTGGACATTTTATCCAGAAGGACACTGTGAGAAACAGTATCAAAAGCTTTGCCAAAATCCAAAAAGATTACATCAACTGGCTTCCCTTGGTCAGCTAGGTGGGTGACCTTGTCATAAAAGGAAATTAAGTTCGTTAAACAGGACCTTCTCCTCCTGAACCTGTGTTGGCTGTGACCAATGACTGCATTGCCCTTCAGGTGTTTTTCAATAACTCCCAGAATAATCTTCTCCATACTCTTTGAGTACCCTGGGATGAATCCCATTGGGCCCCAGAGACTTGTATACATCCAACTGGAGCAGCAGGTCCCGCACAGGTTCAGGGTTGGCTGGGATTTTATCGTTCCCATAGTCATGGTCCTCCAACTCAGGGTAACTGGGGTCCCAGGGCCCATCATCAGCATTGAAGACAGAGGCGAAGAAGCCAATCACCACTTCACCCATGAGACCCTCCCTGTTTACAAGCAGCAAGTCTAGGAGGGCTCCTTTCCTAGTCGGCTCGTTCGGTATCAGTACCAAGAAGTTATCATCAACGTGTTTTAGGAATCTCCTGGACCTGCTGGTATCAAGTATTATTCCCAGTTGACATTTGGCAGATCGAAGTCCCCCATAAGGACAAGGACAGCTGATTTAGAAGTATTTCTCAGTTCCTTAAAGAATAATTCATCAGTGTCGTCATCCTGTAATGGTGGTCTGTAGTATACTCCCACAGCAACATCCACTTCATTTGCTTATCCCTTAATCCTTACCCAGAGGCTCTCATCCTCATCATCGCCAGTTGTAAGCTCTGTATAGTCCCGCCCCTGCATTACATACAGTGCCACCCCCTTGCCTCATCTGTTCTGCTTATCCTTTCTGAAGAGCCTATAACCGTCCACTGTAACATACCAGTCACAGGACTCTTTTCACCAGCTTTCTCTTATGCCAATGATGTCATAGCTCTGGGACTGAGCCAAGGCTTCTAGCTCCTCTTGCTTGTTCCTCATGCTGTGTGCATTGGTGTAGAGACATTTCAAATGTGCTTCAGCATACCCACCCAGCACCTTGTGGAGCAGACTAAAGGATCTCGCTAGCATGCAGTCCCTCAAATTTTGGCGTGCCATCCCATAGCTTATCACCAGCGAGCCTGTTTTTATCCATTATACCCTTCAACTCTAGCGTAAAGCTCTTTCGATCAGCCCTGCTAACTCTTGAGTAAAAATCCTTTTCCCTCTTTGAGAAAGGTGCATCCCATCACATGCCAGCAGGTCTGGTGTCATGTAGACCATCCCGTGATAAAACAAACAAACAAACAAACAAACAATCTGCCTGTGCCACCAGCCTTGGAGACAGGTTTTGATAAGGTGAGTCTGCATGTTTCTTCCAGTATCGTTCCCTGCAACTGGAAGGATAGAAGAAAACACTACCTGTGCTCCTGATCCCTTAACCGATCATCCCAAGGCCCTGAAGTCTCTTTTGATGGCCCTTGGACTTCTTGTCGCAACTTCATTGCTGCCTACATGAAAAAACAATAATGGATAATAATCCGAGGGCTGTACCACCAGGCTCGGAAGTTTTCTTGTAACACTTTTAACACGGGCTCCAGGGAGGCAGCAAACTTCTATAGGAGGTGAGTTTGGTTGGCATATTGGGCCGTCTGTTCCCCTCTGAAGGCTGTCACCAATGACAATAACCCAGCTTTTCTTTCTTAATGGAGGCCCTGAGCAACCTATTCTGGGTGACCCTGATTTGAGCAGAGGGGTTGGAGTAGATGATCTCAAGAGGTCCCTTCCAACCTAAACAGTTCTGTGATCAGTGTTGCAAAGTCCAGCTGGGTGCCAGTAACTAGTGGGGTCCTTCAGGAATCAGTACTGGGACCAGTATTGTTTAAGGTCTTCATTATTGACCTGGTAGATGGAACAGAGTGCACTCTCAGCAAGTTTGCAGATATTGACGGAGAGTGTTCAATATGCTGGAGGTTAGAGGGACCTGGAAAGGATGGAGAAATGAGCTGATGGGATCCTCATGAAGTTTAACAATGATAATTGCCAAGTCTTGCATTTTCAATGAAATAACCCCATGCAACACTACAGGCTGGGAGATTGTCTCAGCTGTATTCCTTAAAGAATAATTCATTGGTGTCATCATCCTTTGAGCCTGACCCAAGAGCCCAAATCCTGGGCAAAAATCCTTTTCCCCCTCTGAGAAAGGTGCTCCTGTAATAAATGGCTAAGTCCCAAATAGGGTTACAATCAAAGTTTACAATTTATTAAACAAATAGAGGTAAGCAAACAGCGCTGGGTGCGCCGGGAGTCTCTGCTCCACCAAGAAGCACACCAGTTACATCAGGCATCTGTTTTTTATGCTCCTAGGCTAATACATATTCATCACCACTTTTGGAAAAGGCAGGGTTATTATAATTAGTTTCCCAGGACCCGAACCATCCCACGGACGCATACATATCAGTCTCTGTGGTCCCTCTGGGGGTCGCTCATACTGAAGGCTCGTAGTCTTCCTCCCAGGCTTTGTCCTTCGGTCATTCTTCAGCTTCCCCCCCTCTCCTTATTTAGTAGTCTCTGGGCCAGATGTCAGAAAGTTGTGTCTCGTGCAATAGTCAGCAGTTATCTCAAGAAACTCCCCCCTATTCTCTTATCTCCCAGACTCGAGTCTCAAGGTTTACCCTTCAAACCCTCTATCGACACAAACTGCTAGACCCTTCTTTTGCAAGATACAAGAACTATATACACTAACCACTCTGTTTCTCTTGGACTTGTGGCTATTTATACAAGGGTATGTAAGACAGAAGGTCACATTTCATCATGAGGCCCTAGCATTGTTCCATATTGACACGAATCAGATGAACATATTTCACAATCCCCCATTTCCTTTTTCATGGTATTAATTCGTGCTTTCATTTCCAATCGAGTCAGTAGTTGCCGAATTGGTATCAATTTTGGATATTCTTTTGTTTTTATTATCATCAGGGAATAGGTTTTCTCTTTCCCTGGTTCTGGGTCAACAGTGTGAGAAGCACTCCGTAGCCAATAACTTAGGCTCAGGCGAGGATCTTAATAAAGTAGTAATTTATTCACGACTGCAATGGCAGGCATTTCCACCTAAGTTCTAGAAGAAGATCCCCACTTAGCCAAAATGACCTTCTGCCCCACCTGCTTGACTTCCAACTTTTTGGAATTGCCTGTTTCTGTGCTCTTAAGAGGTGGTACTCCAAAAATGACCAGGACTGATGGAGCTCGATGTCTTCAAAAGCAGTTTCCCAGGGGACCTTACTAACTAGTTCCCTGAGCGCTGTGAAGTCTGCTCTCCCCATATCCAGGGCTGAAGTTTTGGTGCAGTTTTCCTCCTGTGACTAAAGATTTTGAGAAATGTGTTCATCTGATTCGTGCCTCTGATTTCTCTTCCAACCTAGACAATTCTGTGATTCTGTGAAAGCAAAACAAACAAACAAAAAGAATTTGGACCTGGCTTCGGAATACAAACAGAGGCAATTGGCTAGCCTCTTTCTAGGGCAATTGGCCCCTGATGTCAGAAAGAAATTGTCTTAGGCTGCAGGCAGGATTGACAGGGACCTTGGACTTCTACCTTAACAGGTCCACTGACCATGGGACACGTTTCACATCTAAGGTGTTACGGGACTAAACCACAGCCCTAGGCATTAAATGGGAATACCATACTCCATGGCATCCACAAAGTTCAGGATGAGTTGAGAGAATGAATCAAACGATTAAACAACAATTGGCTAAATTAATGATTGAAACCCAACTGTCTTGGATAAAATGTTTGCCATTGGCATTATTGAATATTAGGACTATGCCCCATAGTGAAACGGGTATCTCACCTTATGAGATGTTATATGGAATGCCGTATTCCCAAGGAATGCCATTGGATTATTCTTTGATAGAGAATTATGAAAACTCTCTTGTTTCAATTTATGTCTGATGTGTATCACCCCCCTGCCATGCATCATTGTGAAGAGTCTTATTTCATCTTCTTGCTGACCTTGTAGGTGTTGAAAGGCTGCTATTAGGCTCACCAAAACTTTCTTTTGCTCAGGCTGAACAAGCCTAGTTCTCTCAGCCTCTCCTCATAGGGGATGTGCTCCAGCTACCTGATCATGTCGATGGCCCTCTGCTGAACTTGCTCCAGTTTATCAACATCCTTCTTTGTATTGGGAGGGATCCAAACATAGATTGGATAAGTCTCTGAGCCAATAAATGCAGCATATCTCAGTGTGGAATATTTAAATACTGAGGATACAAGTGATTTCAAGAGAGTTAACTTGCTACATTTTTCACTGTATTTTTGTTCTTTAATGTTTAGGTGCCTTGACTCAAGCCATTCGCAATTTTGCAAAAAGCATTGAAGGTTGGCTTTCCAGTGCCATGAACGATATTCCACAGAGAATGATAGAAACCAAGGTAAACAAAGCTTACTGCACTTTTCATTACTTTATGCAAATGTACACTGAATGTCATTTAAAATCTGAAAGTAGTAACATTTTAACTTCTATGCTAAGTGTCATTTAAGTTGAATTTCAAACATGAAACACAGGACTGGAAATCATTTTCTTTTGCATTAAAAAAAAAAAAGAATAGAAAAAACTGTATTCGTTTTATTATATGTGAATTGCAACATCTGAGAGCTGATCTGAGATAAATGGATTTTTTTTCATAGGTTGCCACTGTAAGTGCCTTTGCCCAGACTCTGCGAAGATACACATCTCTTAATCACCTGGCTCAGGCAGCTCGGGCTGTGCTTCAGAACACTTCTCAGATCAACCAGATGCTCAGTGATCTCAACCGTGTTGATTTTGCCAATGTCCAGGTAAACTCTAGCTTTAAACAACAGACTTTTTAAAAAATGTATTTCCCCCCCCATTTTTTTTTTGTTGTTACTATTTCTTATTATTCCATCAATAAAGCAAAGTGAGAACATTTTCCTGATTTTTGTATATGCAGTGATTCAGTTGAAACTTACCAACTTACACTTTAGCCTTAAGTAAAAGCTCAGAGCCATTATCTGTTTCCATTGTCTCTGAAGACTTCTTATCTTTCAGACCATAAATTCTGCCAATTTTCATTTGGTGCAAATGAAAGTATAGAGTATATGTGGTCTTAGAATGGACATCATGAATGATGCTTAAATATGAAAATTTGGACAATAGCATAGCTTCTGATCTTCCATAAAAATATTAATCGAACAGCACTATTTCTAGTAGAGATTGTTTCATTAAATTAATTTTTATTTCAAAGATGATGTCATTAATATACTTTCTTCAACTGTGTTTAAATTTCCCACCTTTCCTAAGTAACTGGTTAGTACTAGTTTCCAGTAATCTGTAAAAGATGAACTTATTATTTTTCATTAAGTTTAAAAAAAGGTTTCCCTTTTACCTCTTTCTTCCTCCATGCAGTGGGGTTCCTGCATCGAGGAAACCCCAGGGAGTGGAGAGAGCCATGGGAGTGGAGAGAGCTGCCAGGAGCTGGCAGCCCTCACAAGAGCAGCTGGCAAGGCTTGGGAAGGGCCAGGAGCAGCGGTGGCCACCCCCCCCCCCCACCCTCCCACAAGTACAAAGGCAACCCCTAGGGAGCATGAGTGACCAGGAGTGCGGCAATCAAGGTGTGGTGTGTCAGTCAGGGTGTGGTGTGGAACCACAGTTTGCATGACAGTTTGTGTGGGAGCTTTGCCAGCTCAAACAGGGAGTGATGGTATCCACCCAGCAAACGGCCTCTCTAAGCTCTACACTCATCACAACTGACACAGTTTCCCAGACAGAGCTTCGGTGGGATGAAGGGATGAAAGACATGGACTCACAATGGCTATTGAACTGGAGATGTTTACTACAATTTTTCTCCACTACATATACTTTCCCCATAGCCCGAAACACTGTACACACTCCTGAATCTGTCATGCAATTGGTCAGAGACCCTCAAACACGTGCCTTAAGCCAGCCAGCAATTGGCCACTGTCCAAAGCTCATCTTTAACACTGCAGCCAAGTTATTTCACAGAATCACAGAATCGTCTAGGTTGGAAGAGACCTCAAGATCATCAAGTCCAACCTCTGACCTAACACTAACAAGTCCTCCACTAAACCATGTCCCTAAGCTCTACATCTAAACGTCTTTTAAAGACCTCCAGGGATGGTGACTCCACCACTTCCCTGGGCAGCCCATTCCAATGCCTCACAACCCTCTCAGTAAAGAAGTTCTTCCTAAAATCCAACCTAAAACACCCCTGGCGCAACTTTAGTCCATTCCCCCTCATCCTTTCACCAGGCATGTCGGAGAATAGACCAACCCCCACCTCGCTACAGCCTCCTTTGAGGTATCTGTAGAGAGCAATAAGGTCGCCCCTGGGCCTCCTTTTCTCCAGGCTGAACAAGCCCAGCTCCCTCAGCCACTTGTCGTAGGACTTGTTCTCCAGACCCCTCACCAGCTTCGTTGCCCTTCTCTGGACCCGCTCAAGCACCTCGATGTCCTTCTTGTAGCAAGGGGCCCAAAACTGAACACAGTACTCGAGGTGCAGCCTCACCAGAGCCAAGTACAGGGGGACGATCACCTCCCTAGCCCTGCTGGTCACACTGTTTCTTATGCAAGCCAGGATGCTGTTGGCCTTCATGGCCACCTGAGCACACTGCTGGCTCATATCCAACCAGATATTGACCAATACTCCCAGGTCCTTCTCTGCCAGGCAGCTCTCCAACCACTCATCTCCCAGCCTGTAGCTCTGCTTGGGGTTATTGCGCCCCAGGTGCAGGACCCGGCACTTGGCCTTGTTGAACTTCATGCAGTTGACCTCAGCCCATCGGTCCAGCCTATCCAGATCCTCCTGCAGTGCCTTCCTACCCTCGAGCAGATCGACACACGCACCCAACTTGGTGTCATCTGCGAACTTACTGAGGGTGCACTCGATCCTCTCATCCAGATCATCGATGAAGATATTAAAGCGGACCAGCCCCAGCACCAAGCCCTGGGGAACGCCACTAGTGACTGGCCTCCAACTGGACTTGACTCCATTTACCACGACTCTTTGGGCCCGGCTATCCAGTCAGTTTTTAACCCAACGAAGCGTACGCCAGTCCAAGCCACGAGCAGCCAGTTTATTGAGGAGATTGTTGTGAGAAACAGTGTCAAAAACCTTGCTGAAGTCAAGGTAGACAACATCCACAGCCTTTCCCTCATCCACCAAGCGCGTCATTTTGTCATAGAAGGAGATCAGGTTTGTCAAGCAGGACCTGCCTTTCATAAATCCATGCTGACTGGGCCTGATCGCCTGGTCGCCCTGCAAGTGCCGCGTGATGACACTCAAGATAATCTGCTCCATGAGCTTCCCTGGCACTGAGGTCAAACTGACAGACCTTTCTGTGTTGATGTGTTTATAAAAACATTTTTTGTTATCTTTAATGGCAGTAGCCAGATTGAGCTCCAGATGAGCTTTGGCCTTTCTAATTTTGTCCCTGCACAGCCTCGCAACATCCTTATAGTCCTCCCTAGTGGCCTGCCCACTTTTCCAAAGATTATAAACCCTCTTTTTTCTCCTAAGCTCAAGCCACAATTCTCTGTTCAGCCTGGTTGGTCGTCTTCCCCGCCAGCTCATCTTTGGGCACGTGGGGACAGACCGTTCCTGCGCCATTAATATTTCCCTCTTGAAGAGCGCCCAGCCTTCCTGGACTCCTCTGCCCTTCAGAACCGCCTCCCAAGGGACTCTACCAACCAGTGTCCTGAGCAGCTCAAAGTCAGTTCCTTTCAGGTAGTTGTAGAGAGCAATAAGGTCTCCCCTGAGCCTTCTCTTCTTCACTATAAACAACCCCAGTTCCCTCATCCGCTCCTCATAAGACTTGTTCTCTAGACCTTTCACCAGCTTTTTTTGCCTTTCTCTGGACACTCTCCAGGACCTCGATGTCTTTCTTGTAGTGAGGGGCCCAAAACAGAACACAATACACAAGGTGTGGCCTCACCAGAGCAGAGTACAGGGGGACAATCACCTCCCTAGTCCTGCTGCCCACACTATTCCTGACACAAGCCAGGATGCCGTTGGCCTTCGTGGCCACCTGGACACACTGCTGGCTCATGTTCAGGTGAACATTGACCAACACCCCAGATCCTTATCCTCTGCACAGCTTTCCAGCCACTCTGCTCCAAGCCTGTAGCTCTGCATGGGGTTGTTCTGACCAAAGTGCAGGACCCAGTACGTAGCCATGTTGAACCTCATCCAGTTGGCCTCTGCTCATAGACCCATCCTGTCCAGGTCCCTCTGCAGGGCCTTCCTACCGTCTGGCAGATCAACACCCCCCCCCCCGCCCCCAACTTGGTGTTGCCTGCAAACTTACTGAGTGCACTCAATTCTCTAATCGAAATCATCATATAAAGAGGGTGGGCCCCAACACCAACCCCTGGGGAACACCACTCCTGACCACCTGGATTTCACTCCATTCACCACCACTCTCTGGGCCAGGCCATCCAGTCAGTTTTTAACCCAACAAAGAGTATACCTGTACAAGCCATGGGCTTCCAGCTTCTCCAGGAGAGTATTATGGGAGACCATGTGAAAGGCTTTGATGAAGTCTGGGTAGACTACGTCAACAGCCTTTCCCTCATCCACCAAGCAGGTTACCTGGTCATAGAAGGAGATGAGGTTGGTCATGCAGGACTTGCATTTCATGAACCCATGCTGACTGGGCCTGATCCCCCGGCTGTCCAGCACATGCTGTGTGATTGCATTCAAGATGACCTGTTCCATCACCTTTCCTGGCACCGAGGTCAGGTTGACAGTCCCGTAGTTCCCTGGGTCCTCCTTAGCCAGGAAGGGGACCCGTAGAACTGCTGTATTGGACTTCTGGAGGGCTGACTTTGAGCTGTTAAGGACACTGGTTGGCAGAGTCCCTTGGGAGGTGGTTCTGAAGGCCAGAGGAGTCCAGGCCAGAGGAGTCCAGGAAGGCCGGGCACTCTTCGAGAAGGAAATCTTAATGGCACAGGAGCAGTCTGTCCCCACGAGCCGACGTGGAAGAAGACCAGCCTGGCTGAACAGAGAATCGTGGCTTGAGCTTAGGAGGAAAAAGAGGGTTTATAATCTTTGGAAAAGAGGGCGGGCCACTCAGGAGGACTACAAGGATGTTGCGAGGCAGTGCAGGGACAAAATTAGGAAGGCCAAAGCTCATCTGGAGCTCAATCTGGCTACTGCCGTTAAAGATAACAAAAAATGTTTTTACAATATGTCAACGCAAAACGGAGGACTAAGGAGAATCTCCAGCCTTTACTGGATGAAGGGGGAAACTTAGTTACAAGAGATGAGGAAAAGGCTGAGGTGCTTAATGCCTTCTTTGCCTCAGTCTTTAGTGGCAAGAGCAGTTGTTCTCTGGACACCCAGTACCCTGATCTGGTGGAAGGGGATGGGGAGCAGAATGTGGCCCTCACTATCCACGAAGAAATGGTTGGTGACCTGGTACGGCACTTGGATGTGCACAAGTCGATGGGGCCGGATGGGATCCACCTGAGGACACTGAGAGAACTGGCAGAGGAGCTGGCCAAGCCGCTTTCCATCATTTATCAACAGTCCTGGCTATCAGGGGAGGTCCCAGTCAGCTGGCGGCTAGCAAACGTGACACCCATCTACAAGAAGGGCCGGAGGGTAGACCCGGGGAACTACAAGAAGGACATCAAGGTGTTTGAGCAAGTCCAGAGAACGGCAGCAAAGCTGGTAAAATCTCTAGAGAACAAGTCTTATGAGGAGCAGCTGAGGGAGCTGGGGTTGTTTAGCCTGGAGAAGAGGAGGCTCTGGGGAGACCTTATTGTGCTCTACAGTAACCTTTAAAGAGGCTGTAGCGAAGTGGGGATTGGTCTATTCTCCCAAGCACCAAGTGATAAGACAAGAGGAAATGGCCTTAAGTTGTTCTGGGGGGTGTTTAGGTTGGATATTAGGAAAAATTTCTTCATTGAAAGGGTTGTAAGGCATTGGTAATATTTGCCCAGGGAAATGGTTGAGTTACCATCCCTGGAGGTATTTAAAAGACATGTAGATGTGGTGCTTAGGGACGTGGTTTAGAGGTAGACTTTGCAGTGCTATACAGTGGTTGGACTCAATGATCTTAGAGGTTTTTTCCAACCTAAATGATTCTATGATTTTCCTTAGAAGAAACAACAGCTTTTTCTCCTGTTGTTCAACTAATTGACATGGTCCAGTGTAGTATTTTTTCCCTGCTACACATCACAACTGCTCATAGGCAAAACAGAGTATTATATATAATATATATATAATAGACAATATATATTTATAGGGAGATTAATATAATTTATTGCCTATCACTAGCAGACTAGAAAAGTGAGAAATTAAAGCAAACTAAAAACATTCCCCCCCCATCCTTCTATGTCCTCCCCTCGAGAGGCTCAGCGGAACGGGGAATGGGGGTTGCAGTCAGTCCATAGCGCTTTGTCTCCATTGCTTCTTCATGGTCATTCACTACGCCTGCTCCAATGTGGGATCCCTTCCATGGGCTGCAGTCCTTCCCAACTGATCCTATATGGGCTTCCCACAGACAACAGCTCTTCAAGAACTGCTCCAATATTGGTCTGTACCACAGGGTCCATCCTTCAGGAGCAAACTGCTCCAACATGGGTCCCCCATGGGTGGCAGCTCCTCTCCATGGGCTACAGGTCCAGCAGAAGTGTCTTATTGGTCTTATTTAAGGAATGGCACAAAGTTGTGCCAGGGGATATTCAGACTAGATGTTAGTAAAAAATTCTTTACTGTGAAAGTGGTCAAACACTGGAACAGGCTTCCTAGAGAGGTGGTTGATGCCCCATGCCTGTCAGTGTTCAAGAGGCATTTTGACAATCCCCTCACATATATGCTTTAGCTTTTGTTTAGCCCTGAAGAGGTCAGGCAGTTGGACTAGATGGTCTTCGTAGGTCCCTTCCAACTGAACTATTCTATTCTATTCTATTCTATTCTATTCTATTCTATTCTATTCTATTCTATTCTATTCTATTCTATTCTATTCTATTCTATTCTATTCTACGTATTACAGCCTATGGATAAACACAACAACCCCATTTTTTTGCCTAATAAACAAATCTCTTTTCAAGTGAGGTGCTTAAAAATATTTAAAAAAAAACATATTTGAAGATAGAATAATAACTGCTTCAAAGCAATAGAAAACATGGCACTTTGGTTTCTTTTCCTCTTTGTTTCTTACTCTCTCAGCTTCCATTTGACTGCCCTTTCCACTACTTGTTCTTGTAGTCCTAAGCCTGACAATTTCTGAATTTTTTACTAGAAAAAATATGAATGAAAGAAGTTGAAATTTCTTCCATGAAAACCAATATGGACCACTGCAATGTACTTGCATTTTTTCGATTGTACTTTTGTGTGTGCTTTATTTGATGCCCGTTTTCATACTTTTATTTTCTTTCAACAAAATTGAAAGATGTGAAAATAAAAAACTCATTAGTTTGGCTAAGAAGTGTATTTAATCCTTTTAATTGTTCAATCTTTAAGAATAATTTGTCTTTTGTTTTCATGTTTGCCATGTGTTGTAACAGGAGCAGGCTTCCTGGGTGTGTCAGTGTGATGACATTATAGTTCAAAGACTAGAAACAGATTTCAAGATGATTCTACAGCAGCAGAGCACTCTGGAGCAGTGGGCTGCCTGGCTTGATAATGTAATGATGCAAGCATTGAAACCATATGAAGGAAGACCCAGCTTTCCTAAAGCAGCACGACAATTTATTTTAAAATGGTCTTTCTACAGGTAGTTTTTACTAGTCTTCTAAATTATTTTAGCTATTTTATTATTTTCTGAAATGTATACTATAATAATTTTGACAAAATTAAAAAAAAAACAACTTCATACAATAGTTTGAAAAGCTGTTTCCTTTTTCCAGAAAAAAATAGTGTTGTTAATATCAAACTTGAGACTATGTGTAACTCAGCAGTGGATGAAATAAACCTTGTATATTATTTGAAGTCTTGTGCAAATGTAATGAGGTTAGAAATCACAAAATGTGAATTGCATTCAGGAGACATAACAATAAGAACATGCTGGTCTGAGTATCCCAAGGATATTCAAAATCTTGGAGAGCTATCGTAGCTAGCTCAGAGGATAAGAGGGCAGTGAAGGAGAAAGGGAGAGTGAACAAGTAGGAAAAAAATATCTTCCCGTCCCCTCCACAGATTGGCTCCCTGATGAAAAAAGGCAATAGGTATAATTGTTAATAGTTTCCAAGATATGGTATCCCAAGTATAGAGTCGACGACATTGCTGAGTACAAATACCAGGTTAGGGTCATGACCAGCAATTTCAACATATCATAAGCCATCGTTACACCGCACAGTACCATAATGATCTTAAACCAGGGCCCGGAAAGGATAAGCAGCACGACAGGGAGCACATAAGGAAAGTAACATGCTATAATACTCAATTTGGAAAACAGGCGCAGCAGACTTGAGATTAAAGCAATCAGCATTATGACTAGCAACTATTAAGAAGGTCTAATACTTATACCAATTTTAGTTTAACACACTCTGGTCAGATCTGTTGTTATCTCAACCCTTCATGCCCCACGTTGGGCGCCAAAAAGGACTGTTGTGGTTTAACCTGGCCAGTAGCTAAACACTACACAGCCATTCACTCATCCTCCCCCCTCCCTCTCTAGGATGGGAGAGAGAAATGGAAAGTGAAGCCTGTGGGTTGAGATAAAGACAGTTTATTAAGACAGAATAATAATAATAATAATAATAATAATAATAATAATAATAATAATAACAACAGCACTAATAATAATGTGTATGAAACAAGTGATGCACAATTGCAATTGCTCACCACCTGCTGACTGATGCCCAGCCTATCCCTGAGCAGCCGGCCTCCCCACCCCGGTACCCTGGCTAGCCACCCCTATCTATTGTTTAGCATGACATCAGATGGTATGGAATACCCCTTTGGCCACTTTGGGTCAGCTGTCCTGGGTCTGTCCCCTCCCAGCTCTTGTTCCACCCCTAGCCTGCCCGTTGGCAGGACAGAGCGAGAAGCTGAGATGTCCTTGGCTTGGTGTAAGCACTGCTCTGCAACAATTAAAACAACATTGTGTTATCAACATTCTTCTCATCCTAATCCAAAACATAGCACCCTACTAGCTACTAGGAAGAAAATAAACTCTGTCCTAACTGAAACCAGGACAGAATTTTATCCTGAGTTAGAAACATGGTTTGAAACACTTTGCGTTGAATAGCTATATAATTTTAAAGACAATATTCTTAATAATATTAATTAAAATACCATGATTTCTATTTTTATTATGTAGGGAAGACAAAATCTTTTAGTGTGTAAAAATCTGTTAAAAAAAAAAAAAATCCCATGTCAGCTGCTACTGTAGCAGTTATCATAGTAAAGGTAGCTTTTTTTTTTTTTTCCAAAACGGTACATTGTAGCATCTACTTTATGAAGGTATCATATGGATGTTTTTGTCCACAATCTGTATTTGTCTATTTTAAGATATAAACAAACTTATTTTTGCATTATTTATATACTACAAGTTTAAAAGCAATACCAATTAACACCTTAGTACTAGGAATATGAGCACATCAGGCATAATATTTTGAATGACTACTTTGTTTAAAATTAAATAATCTTAATACAGTTGTACTGTTTAAAATTTTAACAAAGAACTTTCTTCCACAGTGGTCACTTTTTACATGTGCTCACATATTGGTAATTGTGCATATAACAAAACAAAACCCTTCCTGTCTTTTAAAAATTTTAGCTTCTAGTTGTGTAATGTGGTGTCCAACAATGCCATGTCTTTCATAAATCAGATGTTTGTGGTTAGCATTAATTTTAAAAATAGTATTTTTGAAGTGCATATTCCACTGCATATTAATAAATTATGAAAGAATTGTGATATTTATTTCATAAATATTTCTTTCCATATTTAAATAGCTCAATGGTGATTCGAGATTTAACCTTACGCAGTGCTGCTAGCTTTGGCTCTTTTCATCTGATCCGCTTGCTTTATGATGAGTACATGTTTTACTTAGTAGAACATCGTGTTGCTCAGGCAACAGGAGAGACACCTATCGCAGTTATGGGAGAGGTAAGACACCATACAAGATAATGGATTGATGGATTTAGTGATCGACTTGGATATGCATCTACATTTTTTTAATGTTTAAGTGGAGCTATGGGATATTTCGTAATATAACTTAATATAACTGTTGCAGATTGAATCTCAAATACATTTGGCATCTTCAAATTTGGGTTCCTAAAGTTATATATCTTAAACCATGTTTCCTTGGCTGATTTTTTTCACAATACTAAAAATCACAATGACTTCTAACACTAATTTTCTGCAAGTGAGCTTGTTCATAAAAAATAGCAGATCAAGCTACTAGGTAGATACCTACATTCTAGAGTTCTGGAAAACTAAATAATTTATATGAAAATAATAAAGTAAGAGATTAATAGGAAACTTGATTTCAAGGATATGTTTTTACATGTATTTACACACATTAAATTCCAATACAAATATTTACACAACTGCGTACTAACTTCAGAAAGGTAGCTCATGTGCAGAAGTTAGTTTTGCTTAAATGGTACTGTTCACGTGTATTGTTTCTTTATGGCAAGGTTCTGGTAGTGGGGGGGGTGGGTGTTGGAACTGGGCTACAGGAATGGCCTCTGAGAAGAGGTAAAGGGCTGCCCTGGGCTGGACACAGCTGGTTCCACTGAAGTGGAACCACTGAGGTCCAGGAGGTCCACTCAGCAGACTGACCTATCACAGACTGATCCAATTAGCAAAGTTCAGGGTGACTCTGTGAAAACATTTAAGAAAGGGCAATAAATACCAACTGGACAGGCACAGGAGGAAAGAATAAAAGAGACCGAGAAACGAGAGCAGTAGGAGATGCTCCATGGTAGAGCAAATATTCCATGCAACCTGTGGAAGATCTGCACCCCAGAGCAGATATTCCCTGCAGCCCATAGAGAACCTTCAGAGCAGATGGAGGAATTCTCAAAGGAACTGCAACCTGTGGAGAACCCATGCTGAAGCAGATTTGCATGATAGGATTTCAGCTTGTGGAGAACCCATGCTGGAACAAAGAAAAAACATGAGAAGGAAGGAGTGTCAGAGAGAAACTGCTATGTAATGACCACAACCCTCCCTGCACCGGCTATTGCCTCAGTGAAGGGACTGAATGTAACATGCAGCAAGAACACAGGGAGAAGAGAAGTGCTTGGAGTGAAGTTGAGCTGGGGAAATGGGGAGGAAAGATGTTTTCCCTAAGCATGGATTTTTTTTTTGTTTCTTTCCCACTACACAAATCAGTACTTAAATATTTATTTTAATCAGTAATAAATTATTTTTCCTCAAGTCTAATCTGTTTTGCCCATAACAGTAATTAGTAAGTGGTCTCCCTGTTTTTATCTCCACCCATGAGCTTTCTCACTCCCATTCTTCCTATTTTCTCCCCCATCCCATGGTGTGGAGGGTGGGGAAGTAAGCAAGCAGATGGGTGAGTGGTCTCAACTTAGAACCACTGTTTTACATGTGTCCATAGTATGTGCAAACTGAAGTTTACCTCAAACATCTTCTCTTCAGTAGATCACCTAACTTTAATTTTCATATCATAGAATCATAGAACAGCTTGTGTTGGAAGGGACCTTAAAGATCATCTAGTTCCAACCCCCCCGCCATGGGCAGGGATGCCACCCACTAGATCAGGTTGCCCAGGACCTCGTCCAGCCTGGCCTTGAACACCTCCAGGGATGGGGCATCCACAATCTCTCTGGGCAACCTGTTCCAGTGCCTCACTACCCTCTGAGTGAAGAATTTTCTCCTAACATATCATCTAAATCTATCCTCTTTTAGTTTAAAACCATTCCCCCTTGTCCTGCCATTATCTACCCAAGAAAAAAGTTGCTTTCCATCTTTTTATAAGCCCCCTTTAAGTACTGTAAAGCTGCAATGAGGTCTCCCCGGAGCCTTGTCTTCTTCAAGCTAAACAACCCCAGCTCTCTCAGCCTTTCTTCATAGGAGAGGTGCTCCATCCTTCTGATCATCTTTGTGGCCCTCCTCTGGACCCACTTGAACAGATCCACATCCTTCTTGTGCCGGGGACCCCAAACCTGGATGTAGTCATCGGGACCCATAGCCTTGTACCTGTTCAGTTTCATCAGGTAGTCTTGAACCTGCTCTTCACTTACAGTGAGTGGGACTTCGCTTCCCCAGCCCTCATCTACAGCTTCAGGGAAATGAGAGATATGAGAAGCCATATGGGAATCAATGTACCTATAGAATTCCTTCATGTTATTCTTTGCATCCCTTGCCAAGCTCAATTCCATCTGTGCCTTGGCTTTCCTGATCCCATCCCTGCACATCTGGACTGCACCCCTGTACTCTTCCCAGGCTGCATGTCCTTGCTTTCACTGCCTGTGCATTTCCTTCTTCCACTTCAGTTTTCTTGCACAGCCACCCCGGTTTCCTGCCCTCCCTACTCACTTCCTTATACAGGGGAATGAAGAATTCTTGTGCTTTAAGGAAAGAGTTGCCAACTCCGTTCATCTCCTTTGTCCGTAAAGACAGTGTTCTAGGAGTTTTGTCCACTAGGTCTTTAAATAGCTTGAAGTTTGCTCTTCAGAAGTTCAGGATGCCGACTTTGTTCTTTGCCAGGCCTGTATTCCTCGAGATCACAAACTCAGCCAGGGCATGGTCACTGCAGCCCAGGCTGCCTCCAGTCTTGACCTCTTTAATGAGCTCGTTTGCATTAGTAAGCACCAGGTCCAGTAACGCTTCTCCTCTGGTTGGTTTGTCTAATACCTGGACCAGGAAGTTATCCTCAACGCACTCTAGGAATCTCCTGGATTGCTTACAGCTTGCAGTGTAGTTTTCCCAGCAGAAATCCATGTGGTTGAAGTCCCGCATCAGGATGAGAGTATGTGAGTGTGACATGCTTCATGTAGTTGAAGCAAGAATGTCTCATCCACAGGCTCCCCTTGATCAGGCAGACTGTAGTAGACCCCAACCACAAGGTGTCCTTTATTGGTCCGGTCCTTAACTTTTACCCACAAGCTCTCAACCTGTCTGTGGCTGTTTCTCAGAGGCATCTCTTCACAATCAATTCCTTCCATAACATAGAGGGTAACATCCCCACCCCTCCTTCACTGTCTCTCTCTTCTGAAGAGCTTGTTCCAGTTATGTGATCTATCCCACCACATTTCCGCGATAGCAATCAGGTCATACTTTCTAATTGCACCATTATTTCCAACTCCTTCTGCTTGTTTCCCATGGTTTGTGCATTAGTGTAGAAGCACTTCAGCTGGGCTATCGGTTGCAGCACCTTTTCAGAGGAACCCTTCCTAATTGCTTTGGATTGGAACAGCTCACAAGTATTTCCCTGTTGTTTCCTAAAGTGACAATGTTCCCAGGTTTGCTTTCATCACTCAGAGGTACATCCCCTTTTGTAAGAGTTGCTTAAGAATTCACATTATCTCAGGAGTTATCACCAAGGAATTGTACTTTTAAAGTGTTACAAAATGGACAGATGTGGACATATAATAAATGATTCACTTGGAATGGAATGGAAAATGAACTGGTATACTATGGACATGACTGCAGTCACATGCATGCACTTTCATACTAGCCACAAGCTATTGGAGCATAATATTGGCTTCATCGTAGATAATCTAAAGTCATGTTTGTGTAAGACTGCATCTATGCTTTTTATTGTTTATTTTGCAGTTTGGTGATTTAAATGCTACATCCTCTGGAAATATGGATAAAGGTAAGCAGTCAACTCTCTAAAATGTTTAATTTTATACAGAACTAATGTGTGTCTTGGAGGAAAACAAGTCCTTATTTTTTGAAAATGTAGTAAATGTGTATATTACTATTATATGTGTACAATATGCTTTAGATGATAAACAGTATATAATAGTAACTAGAATGCTGTAGATAAGGTTCTTAACAAGAAAATATTTTTAAATGTTTATTATTTACATAAGAATTTTTCAAAATTTCACCCAGAATTTAGCTGTATATCCTTGTGAGAGAGCTGAAGGAGATGGACAGTTGGAAAAACTAAGATTTGATGAGCATGCACATATACCTACATTTGTAGTGAATGATGATTTTGGTAAGTGAAGATGGCAGAATTAGGTCCAAGCACTTGCCAAATAACTTGCTAATTGTTACTGAAGAATCTAGTAAGATGTGAGTTTATGTCCTCTTGGTAAACTGTAGGCTTAGTTTGTTCTCAGTTCTTACACTGGTTGTATAATTTGGGGCAAATCACAACCTCTCTTCAGTTCAGTTTCCTTATCTATAAAATGAGATAGCATTAGAGAGAGTTCATTAACCTATTTATCTATAGAATTTATTGACTTCTCCCAGTAAAATCTTAAGCTTTCAATTTCTACTTTATCAGGTTTCTACGCTTCCCCATGTTTTCGTATTTCATGTTAGTTGCAAAATAAAGGCCCTTGTATTTAGATTTTTCCATTTTGTGCTATTTTTTCTTGGTTGTTTATTTGTGCAGATGAGGGCAGTGAAGTTGAAAGTGAAATAGAAGACATGGATGAAAATGGAGAGCCACAAGACAAGAGGAAGAAAACAGAACTGCACCAGGTGGGCTGTGTGCAGCAGCCAGCACTTGAGAGTGGAGTAGAGCAGAACCTCCTGAACCCACTTCATAATAAGCACATTGTTGCAAATACTCAGACTGTCAGACAATGCAGTGCTACTGGAAATACATATACTGCAGTCTAATATTGAAGCACCACACTTACACCCAACTACATTAGCCCTGTTGATGCTGGACTAAATGTGGGGGATGGAGAAAATCGGTCTGAAAGCTGACATCACATTTTTAGCTATGCTGAACATTACCTTTTATTACAGTTGTGGAATGAAATGGGTGTATGTATGTTGCCAGGTATTTAAAAAAAAAAGTAAGCAAAATCATTTTACATTGGCTACTCAATGAGTTTTCCTCATTTCAAGTGTCAATGAAGATTTTTGCCAAGCTTTGAATGTTAATGCTTTTGTCCTCTTATAATTAAAGTAACTTAATTTTTTTTCATAGTTTTAAAAATTATGCTAATTTTAATTAAGTCTTTATTATTTCATATACATGGGTTTTTAATTAGGTGCACTTCTGTAAAATATCAAAAGAAATACTTTATTGTATTTTTACTGGAGGCATACTCATTTGATTGCATATGCATCAAAATTGTCATAAAAGGTGCTTTTCATTAAACAGAACTAGAAGACACTATTTTGATGAAATTGTGATCATTCAGGGGGTATTTTTATGATAATGCTGGAGGACTGGGAAGATCTACTGTTTTCTTTCTGTAAGGAAGAAGTGTTTTCACTGCATTTACAAATGCAGAATGATAGAATTGTAAAAATGCGGTAATGTGTACACTGTAGGCATACCAAATTATCTGATCACCTTGTAAACAATACAAGCTTCCTTTAAAATTGACAGCTCCAGATTTTGTTTGTGTGCCAGTTCCTCTGGTTTTGGAGACTACTGATTCTATATTTGGGACCACTGCACAGATGCTTTTGGTGGTTGAATGGTATTGTAGAAACTGAACCTGAAGTGACTTTATTTTTTATTTTTTTAAAGTGTATATGCTACTTATGCTGAACTGGACATACAAGAAAACATTCAATTTAGATGACTTTCTTCTATTCCAAGTCTTTTCCTACTAACTCAATCATCTGCTGTCATAAAAGATAATTTATAGAATGTAAGGAATGTAGCAACCCACATAATTTTCTTTTCAAAATATATTTCCTGATTCTTAAAGTAAATTTACATTTTTACAAAACTTTAATAAGGTACTATAACTGGCACACCTCACTTGCACTTATTTCCAATTGCATAGAATTTGAATAGGTGGCAAAATGGACCACTGCCATTTAAGAATGTACATCAGGGATCATTGTACCTCGGCTATTACATTGGTGCCTTAAACAGAACTGAAGCTAAGATTAGTATTTTTTGTTATTCTTAATAACTGTTAATTTTTTTCATGAAATGTTTTTTTTTTCATGAAAATTTTATTTTTTCATGAAAATTTCAAATGAGGTTTATGTTCATTTATCTCTAAATTCATCTGTGCACTGAATCCTCATAGTTTTTGTTCCCCCAAATATCAGTCATGATTTTTTCCTTAGAAATCAGTACCCTTCACCAAAAATCCTAAAAAATAACCCATGAAAATATTTACTCCCTTTCATTATATGATTTTTATAAGTAAAAAAGAATAAGCTAGTCACCATTTTTCATTTTTAACATAAGTTTTTAATGTTATAGTATTGTAGTATGACGTGTATTTCAAATTTTTTATTGACAAACCTTAAATGTTTACTTATTATAATCCTTTATTGGTAGAATGTTGGATTTGTTGTTGCTGAGAGAAAAGTATTGTTGTAAAATGTAAATCTAGATTGTTAAGAAGCGGTTGGACCTGAATATCTCCGGACTGACATTTTGAATAGTTGTTCACTGTTCATATAGTGCAAAAAGAAAATAATATATTCACACAAATAATGTATTTCATGTATTCTAATAGCAATTATCAAAAAAATGGAACTATCCCTGATTCAAATAACTGAATGAAGTTTTTATTTTTATGCTTATCAGTTGACCATTCTCTCAAATAAAACAATATTTTCCCCACTTTAACAAATATTTAAAGGAATTCAGTTGCTGTAAGCTGATGTGTATGCTTACAGGTTTGAGAATTTTCTGCTTCGATATGAATTAATATGAATTGATTTGCACACCTTTGCTATTTTTTAATAGATGGGTACTGTTAATGATTTAAGACCAGAGATATGGATACCTCAGTCCAAATTATGTAGCATGCAGCACGTGGCTGAATTACCACATCAACTATGAAGTCTGCTTAACTCTTTTAGAGCTCTAAAAAGCTGTAGCAAGTATCCGCAGGTTAGACATTATAAGAACTTTTTGGGGTTTTACCTGATCTTGATGTGGAATTCCAAATAATTATTTTAGTGACACTTCTCCTATATAACTTAGTGAACAGTGTTGGGAATGGGTGTTGTTAAATTACTTTTTAAATCACAGGGCCCAATTTTCACAAGTTTTATATTTATGAAAAGTTGTTGGTACATTTTCATATTTCCCATCATAAATCAGTTTAAAAAATCCCTCTTTTCAGTTATCTATTTCTGTATTTTAGTATTGTACTGTAACATGCTTTGTGCACCCTTTTTTAATGTTTCATTAAAAAAAAAAAAAGAGTATATTCTTTAAATTGTTTGCTTACAAAGTCACGATGTACAGCATTTCTGCCTTTAGCTCACAAATGTGTAAAATGTGCTGGTGTACTGTCACTGAAGAATGCATGGGTCTATAAAACATTTCAGTTTAAACCAAACCATTTTTAAATGTATGAAACACTGTTTTGGTTCAAAATATTTTCAACAGGAGACCTAATCTGATATATTTGTGGTTATCACCAATTGACATCAGTATTGTTTAGAAAAACATGTATATTAGTTAGAGCTACATTGCAATTTAATTTATAGAGTGGATTTACAAAACAAAATAACCTTTTATAGTAATGAAAAAAATGGTGAAAATTTAACTTTTTAAATAATGTAGGTATTTTTGGTAATTCATATGACAGTGATTTCAGAGTTTAAAACATTAATCTGAGAGATCAGTGTAAATTTCTGAAAATTGCATTCTTGTCTGTAGAACAGGAAAACTATCATGTCTACAGTTTAAAAACAGGTCAATGAATGGTATTGTAGTATATTTGCTAATTTGGCAATTAAAAGAAAAGAAATGTAATAGAAGCATAAACAAAATAGTTTTAGCATTAGAAAATTAATTTAATGTAATGCTTTGCATTAACCCTTTGAGTATTGTAAGGATAAGAACAAAACTTTTTAGATAGGTTAATTAGATCACTAAAAATGTTCTATACATCTAAGTAGCTGGTCATGTTGCAGAAAATATTTTTTATTTTCTAAATTAAATACTTGCATATTAGACAGAAGTGGTTTTGTTATAGAAGGCTCAATAGACAGGCTAAATTATTCACTGCTATCAACTTGTGCTGTCTGGTGCAAAACACTACTTCTGCTCTTTTGTTTTCCTAATTGCGTTAATATCTCAAGAAATCAAATATGTAGCTCTACAGACATAAGTTGTCTACTTTAAGAGTCCTTTACAAGATGGAGGTTTAGAAAGGAATATATATACTATTTTGAAAATCACTTCAGGGTAGTATTAAAATGCTCTAATAATGTCAATTAAAATCTTTAGAAATAAAAACAAAACCGCTTAATTAAAAGAATAAATTTTACAGAACTGTTGGTATGTTTGCAGTCAAATTTTCTGCAGTCTATCTGATAAATAGATACAAAAAGGAGAGTGTTGTATTCATATTACTTTTAACTTTCGTTCACTTTGCTATTGACTAATAGAAAGACAGAGGTACTATATTCAGTTTCCTCTACAGGGATGCAGCAGTTTGGATGAATGTCAGAAAAAAAAAAAACAAAAACAAAAACAAAAAAAACTTGAAATTGGACCTGCCTTCTGCTGTGTTGAATTTTTTTTTAATTTATTTTTTTTATTGCAAGTAGTACCCAGCAGAGCAAGGGAACAAGTTCAGAACTGAGTAGAGAGTTTCTGAAATTATGTATAGAAATGCTACCTTACTGAACTTTTTTTACTGATCCCTTGCAGAAATTAGCAATCCTAGGTGCAGATGTATTTATTCAAATCTAGCTGAGTGGAATAAAAAAAAAAAAAGCCTCATTACCTTATTTAGTGGAATTACATCGGTAAAGTGCAAGTAAATTATAAACATTTTTAGTCAGTTAATGCAAATTCATGCATAATTAAAATACAGTACTCAGAGGGTTTTCATTTAACATTTTATTTGTAATTTATTGTAAATGATTACCAGTTTGCCTTGATCAAAGCTGCTAGTGATTTTATGTGACAGCAAACCTGAGTTTAATTTACCAATTTTAATTAGGAAATAGTAAAAGCCACTTACAAAGTGACTACCTAGTAAAAATGCTGGGACTGAAAGCCCCAAGTAACTAAATATTTGGTAAAAATTTGTTCATGATGTTGTCCAATAAAAAGTTTGGTTTCCTTACCCGGTGTGCAATAAAAAAATCCACACACTAGGTCAAGATATTGTTTATTTCAGAATTGATCAACTCTGGGTACTAGGTGCTTTCCCACTATGCTGGCACATCCACGCCACTCTTAATACAATCCCTTATAAATACATTTACATATTTGTACTATCCCCTAGCCTCCAACTAGTTATATAATTAGCATACTGCTGACATGACAGAATCATTCTGCCCATCCTCAGAGAGGAAGTGTCTCCCAGCCTAGGGGCATGATTTTTACTATTGTAATGAGGATAGTTCACACTAGAATACTCCTATTCTTTGTTTTTCAGCCAATTATTCACGTTATGTTTATTGGTGACATATTCAAAGGCATAGTCAGGATGTTTCCTTCAAGAATGTCAACAGAATGGTCTTCCCAATTAGTAGTTCCTCAGTTAATCATCCTTTAGACATCTCCAAGGCCCGGGTCATCTTACCCCTTCCTCAAAGAACATATTTTATCTCTTTCACGCAAAACAGAGTTAACTATCTACTGGTATCAATTAGGGCTGAAATTCATCGTAGAGAAGAAGGTCCATAACAAGACTATGAACATCAAAATGACCCACACTTAAATCCAAATAAGGGAAATGCTCTTATGTTCTTCTTTGATTGTGGTGCAAGAGTTTTCAGCACTCCAAAATTAAATATTTTTAAAGAATTAAAACTGTGAAGGGACAACCTCACCTTAACTAGTGTTTACCAGGGAGCTAATCCAGTATCTTTTGACTTGGAACAAGAGGGAGTTTGGGTATGTTTTGGTTTGTTCTTTGTTTTTTTACACAAAGAATACTAAAGGGTTCCAAAATACATTGTTAAAATGATTGTTTTGTATTTAAAGATTAAATATCATATTAAAGTAAATCAATAAAGCAATTTAAAATATCATTTTTGGCACCAAAGTAAATTGCTCAGCTTCACAGAAAATTGCTCATCTTCACAGGAAATTTGGATTTACACTAACAAGCAATGAGGCTTTAAATAAACTTTGAGTGCCTTTCAAACACTTGGGAAATTGTGCCTGAGATGGCAAACTGTAATTAGGGTAATTCTAGAGCTTGCCAATCAATAATTCTGTCATCACTCAGGACTTTCTTATCTTCTAGGAAACTTACTTGGTACCATTTATATTCTACTGTATTTTTTTTAAGTGCCATTATTTAAATTTTACTTAGTAAGTGGCAGATTACATTATTGAGTCCCACAAGCACAGAAATGTAATAACGCTAGGAGAAATTGAACTTTTGTTTTCCAATTTACTGCATACATTATGTAAATGAAGAAACCAACTTTTTTGTAGACTGGACATGTGATGTAATGTTGTTTTGCACTTTTGGAATTAGTTGAACACAGGTTTTACTTATTTAAGGAAAACATCTTTATAGGATAATTTGAGAGCTGTCTTTGCATAATGTATTTGATTTTGTAAATATGTATTTCCTTATGTGATTTTTTTGTGAGAAATGCTAAATCTTTTAGTATCTCATGTTCTCTCAGAATTGGAAAGAGCTAAATAATAGTTTGTAGGCAATTTGTGTTGTGTACTGTAAACGAACTAGGAAACTTTTATAATTATAAAAATATATATTAACTTTTAGGGTGTTGTTTAAAAAATAATGACTGAAGCATACTAAAATCAATAGGATTTTTCTGAATATTTCAGATGAACTCAGGCTACTTTTCTTGTGTTTTTCAAAACAAAATTGTCTTGTCTTCAAATATAAATAAATTTGTTTTCATGTTGCAAACACTTGAATTGGTTTTGGTTCAATATAATTAAATATTTTAGACTGTAAATGCTATTGATTTCAAAAGAAAAATGATTTTAACTTCTGCCTTTAAAATGACAGTATATATTTATGTAGCAGTATTAGGAGTCAAAAACTAACATTGAGTTTCTCAGATGTACACAATCACCAAAGCCTACTCTTGCAACTTTTGTTTTAGTAAAATTGTGAAAACATTAGATGCATTAACTTGTTTTCAGATTATGAACGCTATTGTGGTTTAACCAGCAGCTAAGCACCACACAGCCATTCACTCCCCCTCCCCCCTCCCTCTCTGCGATGGGGGAGAGAATTAGAAAGAAAATGAAAGCCTGTGGGTTGAGATAAAGACAGTTTACTGGGACAGAAAAGCGGAAAATAATAACAATAATGATAATAGTACTACTAATAACAATGTGTACAAACAAGTGATGCACAGTGCAATTGCTCACCACCCGCTGACCGATGCCCAGCCTATCCCTGAGCAGCTGGTACCCCACCCTAGCCAGCCACCCCATATTAATTGTTCAGCATGGCGTCAGATGGTATGGAACACCCCTTTGGTCAGTTTGGGTCAGCTGTCCTGGGTCTGTCCCCTCCCAGCTCCTGCTGCACCCCTAGCCTGCCTGCATCACATCGGGTCCCATGGACTTGAGAACCTTCAGGTTCCTTAGATGGTCTCGGAACTGGGTCTGTTTATCAGGAAAAACGATTAGTTAAATGTATGATGCAGTTAAACAGCATTGCAAAGAATTATCACAGAATCACAGAATCATCTAGCTTGGAAGAGACCTCCAAGATCACCTAGTCCAACCTATGACCTAACACTAACAAGTCCTCCACTAAACCAGTTCTTCCTAATACCCAACCTAAACCTCCCCTATGCAACTTTAGCCCATTCAGTCTTGTCCCGTCACCAGGCACGTGGGAGAATGACCAACCCCCACCTCGCTACAGCCTCCTTTCAGGAATATATTGAGCGCAATAAGGTTGCTCCTGAGCCTCCTCTTCTCCAGGCTGAACATTCCCAACCCCCTCAGCCACTCCTCGTAAGACTTGTTCTCCAGGCCCCTCACAAGATTTGTTGCCCTTCTCTGGACTTGCTCAAGCATCTCGATGTCCTTCTTGTAGTGAGGGGCCCAAAACTGAACACAGTACTCGAGGTACAGCCTCACCAGAGCTGATTACAGGGGGACAATCACTTCCCTAGTCCTGCTGGCCACGCTGTTTCTTATACAAACCAGGATGCTGTTGGCCTTCTTGGCGACCTGAGCACACTGCTGGCTCATATTCAGCCGACTATCAACAAATACTCCCAGGTCCTTCTCTGCCAGGCAGCTTTCCAGCCACTCATCTCCCAGCATGTAGCACTGCTTGGGGTTGTTGCGTCCCAGGTGCAGGACCCGGCACTTGGCCTTGTTGAACTTCATGCAGTTGGCCTCAGCCCACTGGTCCTGCCTATCCAGATCCTCCTGCAGAGCCTTCCTACCCTCGAGCAGATTGAGACATGCACCCAACTTGGTGTTGTCTGCAAACTTACTGAGGGTGCACTCGATCCCCCTTATCCAGATCATTGATAAAGATATTAAAGAGAACTGGCCCTAGTACTGAACCCCGGGGGACTCCACTAGTGACCGGCCTCCAACTGGATTTGACTCCATTCACCACGACTCTTTGGGCCCGGCTATCCAACCAGTTTCTAACCCAACGAAGCGTGCGCCAGTCCAAGCCAAGAGCAGCCAGTTTCTTGAGGAGAATGCTGTGGGAAATGGTGTCAAAAGCCTTGCTGAATTCAAGGTAGACCACATCCACGGCCTTTCCCTCATCCACTAAGCGTGTCACTTTGTCATAGAAGGAGATCAGGAGATCAGGTTTACCAAGCAGGACCTGCCTTTCATAAACTCATGATGACTGGGCCTGATCGCCTGGTTTTCCTGCAAGTGCCGTGTGATTATAAAACAGTCCAGGTTGGAAGGGACCTCAAAGGTCATCAGTGCTAAACTTTTTGTGGGAAAAGGGGTCCTAGATGAGATGAGATCATATTTATCAGGGACTGTAGAGATAGGACAAGAACTAATGGCTTAGCTGGTCAAGGGAAGTGATTGTCCCACTCTACTCTGCACTGGTGTGGCCTCATCTCGTATACTGTGTGCAGTTTTGGGCGCCACATTTGAGAGTTATGTTTTAAGAAGCAACTCAGGAAAAATATTTGCAGTATTCCTTTGAAGAAGTACCCCATCACAGGCAGGCCTCTTTTATTTTTGATTTTCTTTTTGTTTTCTTTTCTCTTTTCTTTTTTTCTGGTTAATTGGGAAAAGTACCAACTGCGGCTGGCCAAAAAATGGGAAAATTTGTTTAATTTAGTAAATACATAAGCTGATAATTCTATTTTTGTTTCATCTTTTTTTCCTTTTCCTGATTTTAAGTATTTTTATTTTGAAAAAAAAATCCCCAAAATTTACTGTCACACAACTTCCTAATAAATATTACCATAAAATAAATTAGCACTGAGGAAAAACTTTGTTTTGTTGTTTTTGTTTTTTTAAAAAAGAAGCTCTAAGTAAGTTTTTGTCAGTCAAAATGTTTGTGAAAACTTTTTAATGCCCCTGTAATGA